GCCATTTACCCTTACGTAAGGTATTCACAACAGATTGATTTTAAATCCAATATGGGCTACTCATCAGACATACGCTGGCGAGGCATTGTCTTGCAGTATGTCTACAATATTGAGATCAGCGTAGTTGCTGGTGTATTAAGCGTCTCGGCCAGAAGCCTTCGGAGATGGTACCATCTCTTCAAGACAACAGGAAATGTCGACGACACCCCAAAGAATGAGCGGTCATCTAAATGGCCGATTGAAGTGCAACAATTTGTTCGCGAGTATGTAAAGCAACACCCCCTGCTTCTACTTTCAAGAGCTGCGTGAGGTATTAAAAGAAAAGTTTTCGACCCAATATTGCTGTTCCGATTCGACAATTTGTCGTGCTTTACGGTTCGAGTTGGGGTTAGCGCGCAAAGTGCTGACTAAAAGAGCTCGTGAAAGTATCCCAAAAGAGCGCCAAGAGTATGTGAACAGGCTATTGCCTTTCTACAGCGGGCCAGATCAAATCGTGTTTGTCGATGAAACTTCAAAGGATCGAAGGTAATGTACAATATCAATTTTGTGACTGCTGCATCTTACCTGCTAATTTGTTGTATGACATTGCTATGGTTTAGGTCCTCCCTGAGATAACACGCGTGGTCCGCGCGCGGAGACCCAGCGATTGTGTCCATTCCATTTTCCCGCGGAAAGCGAATCTCAGTTCTTGCTGCGTTCGACGTGGAAGGATTTTTTGCGTGGGGTACAACCGAGGATACATTCACCCGGCAGACGTTCCACGAGACTTTCAAGTTGAAAATTCTACCATTACTCAATCCTGGGCCTTTACCAAGATCAATTGTCATTTTGGATAACGTCAAAATCCACATGTACGAAGAATTTCAAGAACTTATTCACGGTACTGGTGCACTGTTATTTTTTTTGCCGCCGTAATCACCTGACTTGAATCCTTTAGAAGTCGCTTTTTCTCTCCTAAACCGATGGATCCAACGCCACGCAAATATGGCATTCCGTGAAAATCCTCTTGCGGTCCTCAATGTCGCGCTGTACTTTTGCACTAGACAGTCTGAGGAAGTTGGGCAAAATTTGTACGGTCATTGTGGGTACGATGGGAACAAACTCAGTATAAAAATCAGTGAGTTTTAATGAAATTTATGTATTTGTACTGAAAACATCGTACTCTACCTCTGCTATGCTCCTTAGAGTTGATCGTTAAGATGATCGATATCATCCATGTCTTCTGCGGGAGCGGGAGTCTCAAAATCTACCGGGTCACGGAACGGAGGGCGAAGGCTGTAGGCCGGTAAACCGAGAGTTTCCTGGAGATCTCCAACATGAAATTGCACTTGGATCAATGCACCTTGAATTTTGATCCTGAGCATTCTGAAATTCATGTCAGCGGTTGCTTGAGTTGTATCTTGATTCGTCTCCATTTCCTGCGAAAGCTGATCAATGTTCCGAAGTTGTCGAAATGTTGTGTTATCAGGAACTTGTAGTGGAGCGTCAGCTGAAAGTCGAGCTTGCATTGTTGCCATGTACAGCTGTGAGGCTGGCCTACTAGAAATATTGCGCTCAGCTAGCATAGCTGCTACGCGGGAAACTTGCTCTTGGATTCGATTCTCGGTTGCTCTACGAATAGTGTTGGCTCTTGGTTCTAGTGGTCTTGGAACATAAACAAAAATCATTAAAACAAATCAGACTGACCGTGTAGACGAAGGCGAGCTAATTCCCAAGATCTGGCGACGCGACTGGAGAAATTTTCCTCGTCCAACTCGAGAAATTCACGTTGTGGGGCGTGCTTGGTGGGCTTGAGATAGACGCTGAAGTCATCCTGTCAATCGTTTGGCAGACGACGAATGAATTCGGTTGCAACTTGAGCATTGAATAGCCTAAAGCCACGGTCAATCTGAAAGGAGAAGTCGATGGGCTCGGTCTTGTTTCGGCACGAGGTGAGAGGATCGCCGTTCTTGATGGTAAGGCGGCAGGTGAGAATTGCTGGTAGTGGCAGTGACATTTTAAAACTAAAAGTGAGCCTTTAAGCCAAATGATGCCAGGGCGTGGGAGAATACTCACGGTAGAGCTCGACAAAATTTAGGAGATCATGTCAAAACGGGATGGAATTTTGCCAAATGTCATAAGATGTGGACACAATCTGTTTCGGTTTTGTTAATCTATCCTAAAATTTGTATTAAAACCATGATCTGTATATTTGCAATAAAGTAGGGATTTAGCCAATCGAGAGCGTTTATGCCCAGGGAATTATCTCATCTGCCATCCGCCGAACGCCGATTGGACAGAACCTCCAGGTGGTGCGATTATTCCCGGAAATCCTATCCCGACTGATCCATATGAGACTCATCCCCGAAGGGATGTGGCGTGCCGACCCAAACACTTGGTTATGTCTCCGATCCGACGAAGGACTTGCACACGACACTTACCTCAAGCATCGAGCTCCCTACATACATGAGAATTGAACCCACGCCACCCGTTAGCTGACGGGCTAATCAGGCGCATGCAAACCAGTTGCCCAGAATGCATACTAATATTTAAATAAAATTATGTCAAATATGTCTTTGATTGGCATCGTCTTTTTTTTCGTCAAAAGGTTAGGCTAAATTTTAGTCGGAAGCACCCGATCAGATAGGAGATCTTCCGTAAGGGCCATCCTCCTACGTAGGACCATAAAACTGAGGGCGTTTTGGCAGAAAGGCACAATAACGGTAGTGGGAAACAGTCGGGGATACTGTACGGAAGTGCGCAACGAAGACTATAAGCCAGTTTTTTCGAAGCGGAATATATCCTTTCACGTAGGGGCCGTCGCGCGGGCGAGAACAGCGATGATCGCCAAATAGCCTGGTTAGTATTTGTTTTCGGGGGCCATTTGTTACTAAAGCCGTGCAGTGACAGTGACAGCTCCGTTTATTTTCAAGGTAAGCTTTACAATTGCATAAGCTCTTTATTGGCTAGCAGTAAGAACGAAAGAAGAAAAACAACTAGTTTGTTAAAAACGGCACTACTCGTCATTCTTGTGGTTTATCAATCCGCAGCTAAATCGCAATGGAATGGAAAATTGCAAAAACGTCATTATTAAAACAAACGCCAAAAATGAAATTACCTCCTAAAAGTGACAAATCATATTTATCGGCGAGTTGAAAGAAGATTGCTACTTAACCCCAGTGAGGCTTAGAGGCAGGACAAAACTCAGTTATTCTGTGGCATACATAACGTCTTTTGACCTAACACGCCCGCAGTAGGATAACAAGTTACTTCAGATTTAAAAAAGAAGCCAAAATTGCTTGATGACCTTTATAACAAAGCAACCACTGCTTGCATTTACGAAACTGAGTTCCAAATTTTGAAGCTTAGCTAGGACAATTTTTTAAGGGTTATGTTATTAGAGACACTTTTGAAGACACCAGGTTCGAAATCCTGAGGATAAATTAAAAGTGCATATTTTCCTCCATGGTTGCTCTTCCCAGCAGCGTTGTCACAAGAGCACAGCAACATACTACGTAGTAATTGTGTTTTTAGTGGTCGAATTGGCTTGCTTGATATTATCAGATAGTGAGTAGCACTGCGATAAACATGCTGACTGTTTAAGACACAACTACCATTTGACAAACCAAAAAGGTTAGTGCTTGTGGATGTACTGGTCAGCAGTCTCCTTAGCTTTGCCCAGGAATGAGTCATCATCCCTCTTCTTGTGAGAGTCCCCGTGGCCCGAGTGGTGCGAGTCGTCGTCCCTTTTCTTGTGGGAGTCTCCGTGGCCCGAATACTGACCAGCCATGTCCTTAGCTTTGTCCAAGAAAGACTCGTCGTCCCTCTTCTTGTGAGAATCCCCGTGTCCCGAGTGGTACGAGTCGTCGTCCCTCTTCTTGTGGGAATCTCCGTGACCCGTGTACTGACCAGCCATGAAAGACTCGTCGTCTCTCTTCTTGTGAGAATCTCCGTGTCCCGCGTGGTACGAGTTGTCGTCCCTCTTCTTGTGGGAGTCTGCGTGGCCCGTGTATTGACCAGCCATGTCCTTAGCCTTGCCCAAAAATGAGTCGTCGTCCCTCTTCTTGTGAGAGTCACCGTGTCCCGAGTGGTACGAGTCGTCGTCCTTCTTCTTGTGGGAGTCTCCATGACCCGTATACTGACCAGCCATGTCTTTAGCCTTGCCCAAAAATGAGTCGTCGTCCCTCTTCTTGTGAGAGTCCCCGTGTCCCGAGTGGTACGAGTTGTCGTCCCTCTTCTTGTGGGAGTCTCCGTGGCCCGAATACTGACCAGCCATATCCTTAGCCTTGCCCAAGAATGAGTCATCGTCTCTCTTCTTGTGGGAATCCCCGTGTCCCGAGTGATACGAGTCGTCGTCCCTCTTCTTGTGGGAGTCTTCATGACCCGTGTACTGACCAGCCATATCCTTAGCTTTGCCCACGAAAGACTCGTCGTCGTGGCTGCCATGATGGGTTTTTTTCGAGAATCCGCGGTCCCCCGAGTAGTTCGTGGCCGAGTCCTGCACCGTCATTCTCTCGGTATCGTGCTGGATGCGGCCCACGTTAGACTCATCCCTATGCGTATTTCCGTGGCCCGAGTAGTTGTCCATCGTCTCCTTGGCCTTGTTCAGGATTGAGTCCATCGTGCGTGTCTTATTCAGCGAAGTTATTTCTAGTTGGCGAAAGTGAAAATGGGATCCTGGATCATAGAATCGTATCCCCCAAGTTGAATGAGAGGGACCGACCTCCTCGTCGACAGGCGCACAAGATCCATGTAAGCTTGAAGCTACTAGCTTCTACAAAGCTACCCACATTTGTCGAACGGCACGCAACTGTTCAGTGAACACACCCATCAAAATATGATTCGCTGCATGACCGTCCATTTAACAGTATTAGGGGAGATTGTCCTGGTACTTTAAAATTGTTTTACCAAAAATACTACGAGGTGTGGTCGGAATTCACAGGAATCCGCAATAAAACATTCCATCTGCAAAATAATGTATTCGAAATGGGGGCATTGGGAAAAAAATCATTGCAGCTTCAGACGGAGGAAAAAAAAATGAAATTCATGATTGGTTGGAAGAGACTCGCCGTGTCTGCAAAGATTCAGCGCAATCTAATGAGGAACGTTTGTACAGCAGTCATTCCATGAGGAAGATGCGGCGAGCGACGTCACCTACAAGCCAGTCAATGCCGTCGACAAGGCCATCGCCAGTGACGGCACTACAGGCGATAATGCTCCAGTGTCGGGTTGAAAACTGGGCTGACCGCAGACCAAGTACATTAACAATCTCTGCGGAGGAAAGCGCACCAGGTAAATCCTGCTTGTTGGCGAAGATCAGCAACGTAGCCCCAGCTAGTTTCTTACATCAGCCAAACCCAATAAAGAAAAAGGTGCGCGTAAGAATTAACCGAAGTGAGTTAGGCAAGCAATGCGGTCCACGCACCTCTTGGGTCAACAGACTTGTAAGTTCACGTTTACAATCCTCAAGCCTCCGTCGGTCGGCGCTGTCTACCACCCACACGAGGGCATCCGTCTGTGCGCAAACACAGCACGGTCAGCTAGAAATGAACCCTATCACGGACAGCTTAAAAGCCTTGAGCTTTCGACGAACAGATCCGAACACAGACCTGCTCAAAGTAATTTCTCCAGTACGAGCGAATTGTCTGCTGGCCACCGATGTCCCAAACATTTAACTTAAAGCTGTCCGAAACAAAACAACGACATAGCATTATAGTGAGTCTGCTGAGATCGTGCGTCGACATTTAGACAATTGCACTTACTTCTTGTATTCGAGCGTATGGATGTCAAAACCTAGCGTGGGAGAGATCTCAGTGATTTCCTGTCCCATGAATTTTTTTAGGATCGTCGTCTTGCCAGCGTTGTCCAGTCCTCTGGTGCCCAATTAAGCCGTCAGTATGTACCCAGTCAAAGTAAGAATGCCCAGCGGACAAAGTTGCAAGCCAGACGCTTGAACGCACAGCATGAGGACGCGGATCTCTTTTTCCTTCTCCTTGACCTTCTTGAGGATACTCAGCAGCCCCATCGCCCAATCCAGATGTGTTATTGCAATATTTATGACTGAATGCAATTTTGTACTGTAATATTTGCCTAATGTATCCGAATATTAATACTTGAAGTACTAACGATACGTAGTAATTGAGAATCGCTTTTCGCGGGCTATCGCTCAACAGAAGATGAGAGAAGAAAACCGAAAACTATGAGATGTTATGCTGTACCGGTATCACTTATACATAGTCCTATCCTGCTCCGTAGGGATACAGTATTGTAGTCATGTGCGATTGCTCATTGTAAGTCGAAAGTGTCAAATTATGATCTCATTTAAACTCTTCTGATGGCAAGACTCGTATAGCTTCTGCACCTGTCTTTCGTAATCCATCGTTAGCATTGACTTTTACTTGGAATTTTCATTAGCTCGTTTTTTTTAATGACTGATACCCTTGTCGAACTTGTCATTCGTCAGAAAGTTGCGCTCAGACGCACCAACTCTGCTTTGAGTTGAGCCAGCTTTGCCTGGGAATCCTCGAACCACTTCCGCGTCTTCGTGACCGTCACAAAAGGAATTTTGTCTTCGCCAACTTCGGTCCTGAATGAGCACTCACTCTGACCTTCTTCCAGAAGTGCCTTCGCATATGTCTTCGCCTCGTATAGCCCAATAAACTCCCGTAGCCTGCCATCATACATTATTTTCCCTTCAAACGTCGTGGATTCGTCTGGACCTTGTAAAAATGACTCAATCTCTTTGTAGTCGTTTCTCACGGCGAAGGGCATTCTCCATGAAAACTCCTTATCAGCTTTATCCAGCCTCTGAATCTCTCCTTTAATCCATTCCATTCGCTTACCAGCGATCGCTTTCAGCACACCAAACCGATCCCTCGACCGATCGTAGTCACTAATATAGCCTGAAAACACCTCCACAAATGGCCCGAGCTCACATGGATCCCTCTTTTGAATTTTGGTTGTGACCATATCAAATGTTTGGTCATCACTGGATCGAACAACATGCCACAAAACTTCAGCCGCTTCACGAGATCTTATGGCATAGTCGGGCTTAGCCATAGCCGCGTCGATCATAGCTTGCTTGGCTACCCCTTCATCCAAGTTTCTGGCCACAAGCAGCAGCAGTTCCGTATCCGAAGCGCCCTTCGTATTTTGCCAGTGATCTTGGAGCACGGCCAGCAATGCCTCGCCAACGTCATCCCACTCGAAAGTACGCACAAACTTATCCATGGCGGGGACAAGTGTCGTATTCTCTGCCAAACCACCCAGTTGTGGACAAAACTTGGTAACAAACAGATCTGCCAGCTCCACATCTTTAGTATCAACAAGTAGCTCGAAGAAGGAGCGACAGAATCGGACTGAAGCCTTGGGCGTAATCCCAAACGCATTCACTTTTCCCCAGCCATCCTTGGCTTTGGTAATCTCTAGAAGTTGGCGGAGACATACAGCTCCAACAGGTCTCTGTCGAACAAGTTCTTCAACTGCGATCTCGGCAGACACGAATATTGTCAAAAGCATCAAATGCTGGCCAGCAGGCCACGCAATAATCGCAAATCTCGAGTATTTCGTGCTTTTGATGGGTCCTTCGTTACCAGTAAAGGCGTCTTCAGTATCTCCGTACGATTCCCACATCTGTAAAAGCGATTCGCGACCAGGATTCAAAAAGTTAAGTTTAGCATAAAATTCTAAATGTTCCAAACTTTCCCCAGTCGTTTTGAACCAATGAAGGGCTTGCTGGTAACCACAGCTGTCCCAACCGTGTGTATCCAGCATTGTTTGGACCTTGACCACTAGTTTGGCAATGAAGAACCGGAGTTTCTTACCATCAGGAACGAGAGCATTCGCTTCTTCGAGCATACGAAATCGAGCACAGTCGATTCCTTTCAGAGCTGCAGTTCCCAACTGCCCAATACTCTTCTTAGTATACGCGTGTGATAGCATTAGAGCAAAATCTCTATTATCCGGCATTCTTTTGATCGCATTGGCGAGTTCATCACTCATGGTCATGTTTTGGTCCCGTCTGAGGTGGTACTTCGATTCCGGTAGACAAATTGAGTATACTAAAGCAAGGCGATACCCCTTCGTCACTTCCTCCAGAGCGTGTTCAGCATCCGAATAGTGCACGGCGTAGTGTGGGAAATAGGCCGCAGTACCGTCAGCTTTGCCGAAATCGTGACGGTGTTCCACTTGTCCGTTTCGATACACAATCAGATCTCCGCCTTCGTGAGTACTTGGTGGCTGGACAACCAATGTCGCAATCATTCCGTCCTCCTTCTCCGTATCCTGGTGTTTCAGGAAGTGACCCCCTTCTCCATACACCAGCAGCTTGTAGAGGACGCAGCTCAATGGAACACCCTTGTAGCCCAAACGAGTAGCGATCATATGCGTCAGCTTCTTCAGTCCTGTTTGCCACAACGGATTTCTATACTCCACTTGATCAGGTTCTAGTTGCCAACTCTTACGGACACTTTCGTCCATCTTCGTGTCCATGTTGTGTCCGAAAGGAGATTTAGCACATGTTCCTATCAGCTTCTCTGCGTGGTCTGGAGCAAGTGGAAATGGAATCATCCCAACGTTGTTGACGAATAGTCCGGGGACGACTGGGAGAGTTTGGGCTAGCCACCGAACGAATATTCGCCTGCATGTTCATCAGCCGA